GTTATCTTCATGTGAGAAATTCCATAGACACTCCTCAAATAAAGATTTGTTCCACAACTCTCTTGTGAATTACTTCTATTAAGGACTGGGTATTTGAACTAAAACAAATTAATTAAATCACCACCTTCTGTGAGTTAAAAGGTGTTTTTGTTATGATCTTGTGTGTGATGTTACATTATATTATCATCTTTGGAATGACTCCAAACTTATCCATTTAAGTGTTTCACAATTGCAACTATGCAGGTAATTCTAGATAATTCTAGAATTCTGGCAAGTGTGGAAGGCATTAATTCTTTAGGAAAGGCTTGTGCTTATGAAGTAACACTCATTTATAAAGCCATACAGACAATTTTCATTCTTCTTATAAGCGAACATTATCTTATGTGCATGCAGTTTATGACTGGGATAATGGCTAAAAATATCAAGCTATTTACAGATAGTCACTTACTCTAATAAGCTATTGCTACCTAGTCATTGTTATTCAACCATATCTTTAGGCATAATAGAGTTCTTCTTTACAATATTAAATTTTTACTACTCTTTCAATGCCTTTCCATCAGTCTAAAATATTTGGATTATTTAATATTGGTAATATTTCCTGTTAGTGTTTACAATGGTACTGACTATATCAGAGAGCACTTAAGACCAACTGCTAATGAATTCAATAAAGAGAATTACTAGTCAAAAATAACAAAGATCACTTAAATTCAAATATTTCAAATAATATGAAAATGTTAGCACTTCCTTTTGATGTAGTCTTGATTTGCCCAGGCCTAAATTATTATTTCATCCTCGTACCTAAGTATTTATTTGAGTAGCTCTGAAAAGAGCAAGCCAAATTGCTTGCAGGTCAGATCTTCACTGATTCTGTGCTGAATTTAAATTGTTTTAATACACAGACCACTTTTAATGTTGTCATTAAAAGTGCCTCATATATTGCCTTAGCTAGACACAGCTTCCAAGTGCAGCTAGACAATGTTTTTTCTGGACTACACTAAGTACTGGGCTTTCTTTTAGGAAGAGGTTAGAGAGACTTGAAATCATAACATACAATAACACTGAACTGCACATTATTGGGAATGGGGCCAGAAGAACCACGTGATGAAGAGCAGGGAAACAGAATTGAACTGCCAATAAGAAGGGAGAGTACTAAATTTAGATGATATTTGCTGCAAATGAGTCATTACTATCAAGTTTTTATCTAGCAGAACTCTGTCCCCCACACCCAACAGTCCCTATTCTGTGGCATAGTGTGTGGCATTGACCCTTCTCAGTCTATTAGGTTTTCAGTTTACAGGTTTTCTTCAGTCTAGGTGTCTCTACCCTAAAAAGCAGATATTTTTAAACTTTCTATTTATTTAAGAAGGCAACTTCCTTCTCACTTTCTGTACTTCTCTTTGTCAATGCTCTGAGGAGAAGTCTACATGGTGACCGGGAAGTGGAAAAGAGGAAAAGAAAACATGGGTCTGAGATTTGTAGTTATCTTTGACAGGCCAAAAGCTGAACTGAGTTAAACTAGCAACTAGAAAGCAATAATTTAAATTGCATATATATATACATATATATATATATATAAAAAGTGTATGTGTGTGTGTATATATATATATATTTTTTTTATAGCCTTCATTTTCCTGAGATATGATTCATCCCCATTAGCTGGCACTAGCAGTAAAATATTTCTTTATTTCAGTAAAATATATCCTTTACACTATCCTTTACACATGCATCACTGCAGCTCTCTTTGTTAACCAGAATGATACAATATAGGTGAAAATTTCAGACTGCCCGCATAGGAACCTAAATTAAATCACAGTGTCAAAGTCTAAAAGAGTAGTTCAGCTATATCACTCTCTAGGACCTACACTTTTTCCTGAGAAGTTTCCTAACTGCTCATGCAGAAACATTTGTTTGAGAAGCAATGCACCTTCCTCCTGCCAATGGTCTGTTTTATTGCAGGTTTGAAATATGGAGGTTCCTTATTTCCAGAGGGAGATAGTCCTCTAAACGCGTCATGAGCATATTCAAATATGATGCCAGAACTGAGAGTCAGCAGAAACCAGAGCAGCCTTTGTCACTCATTAAGAAGTACCATTCAAAATGTTGGGGTCACTCATCCAAAAGGCGCCTAAGTTCAATACTGGGGCAAATACCAGGAATATCTTTGTATCACATCTTTCCTATTAGCAGTTCTAGCTCATGGGGGCTGAATACAGCCTGTCAAACAATTTTTTAGGCCTTTGGGCCACTGTCTGACATTTCTTCTGTAAGTTTCTCAGACCTGGGCAAGAGGTAGGGGTTAGATGAATCAGTGTGGTAGTCAGTGATCTGCTCTGCGGACCTCCCTTCCCAAATGATCTCCTGAGTCCTCTTTCTCATAAGGCAGGATGGACTTACAACCACAGCACAAGTGCATATCTGGTCCCAGGATGGGACTCCGCAAACAGTATGGGGCAGACAGAATCCACAGCGTACGCCCCATGTCACAGAAATTTTGGCCGTGTGATGTGTACATTTTTGGTCATGTCATCACAATATAGTTAATTATTGCCAAATAATTAACTGTACCAATAATATGAGACTTGAAGTACTGTACTTTTCATACCCTTCATTATTATCAAAATGATAAATTGATAAATACTTAGGAGTAGATTTTTCAGAGGAATGATTGCTATTTTTATAATTAACTTGAATGATAAAAGAGATTTAAAAGATTTAAAAGCTACATATGATTAATTGTATAATCATACATTTTAAATGGGAATAGCAGACTTCTTTTTTAACTTATAAATTATATTTTCTGTTTGAAGTTTGCTTATAAACAGTCAAGCTTTCAAAAGCTCAATGAATTGATACAATCATTCTTCAAACAGGAGTTGTCACAGAAGTTACACAGTGTAATCAACATGTAAGAGTTGCTCATCTGTGCTTGCCTGGGTTCCAATCCACTGAACTACTCAAGCACACCAAGCTAGTCTTACAGTTTCGTAAGTATGAATTTATGCTTTGCTGCATGAGGTTCCTAGTTTAATTTGATCACTTGATTTGACCCCTTGTTTAATCTAATCACTGTGGTTTTCCACCCTTTAGTAGCTGCTCCTGAATTTCAGGATTTCAGTGTAGCTTTAGCTCATTTTTGGCTGAAACCAGCTGCATCTATTGTAGTTTGGGAGGAGTGAACTTTGACTCTCTAGTTATCTCACGTTCTTTAATTCTTACTAAAACAAATCCTACTAGCCTGAACAACTAACTAAAAACCTAAAATTAGGAACAGGCTGCTATTGTGTGCTAGTGGGATGTTTCTACTACATGAACTTCCCAGATTGGTTCAGAGCCATCTGAAGTTCTTGCTGCATACCAGGTTGGTCCCATTCCCTTACCTAACTGGCTTTTCCATCTGGTAGAAAATGAACAGACCCCTCAGTTGGGGTCAAGAAGGCTGAGTTGGGAGAGCAGCTGTCAGAACTGTGCACCAACCTTCAGTATTGCTTCAGTCCCATTTTGAAATGGCTGGCACAACAGCTACGGTTCACCAGACTGAAATGAGTAAGATGGGCATGTATCTGAGTGCCAAAGCAGGCTTAACGGGTTGACGTGAGAAGCACAGCTTCCCCACAGAACAGGGGTTGCATTCAGGCACACTCCAGCAATGGCTAAGGATTGTTAAATTTTTATGTCTTGCTGTTACACGGAACTTCCAGCCTGTTGTGCCTGACTGCTTTTGCTGCCTAATGATAGCATTGTCCCTTAAAACTTCTTAACCTGAGACTGGACAGGATGCCTCCAATGTTGCTGGGGGAGCTGTGTGAAGTCATTGCAAGGCTGTTCTCTATCATCTTTAAAAGATCATGTTGCGGAAGAGAAGGTTCATGATGGTAGAAAAAGACAAATGCCACCCCCATATTCAAATATTACATCAAAAAGGATCAAGAACTACAGGCTGGTCAGCCTCATCTCAATACAGTCTCCCATAGCATCCTGTGGCCAGATTGAAGATATTTAGACGGAATGAGTGGACTGCAAAGAGGGTGGAAAAATAGTTGAACTCTGAGTCTTAAAAGGCAAAGGCAGTTAGACAAGTCTAACCGGTGGCTACTTACAAGATGCGAGTTCAGAATGAGTAAGACACATGTGCTGCTCATCTGACCATTATCCAGTCATCACCACATCCATGTCTGCAGGTTAGACGTTTACACTTGAGTTAGTTACTAGCTACCCTTCCTTAGAATCAATGGAAGTTAATAGGCCCTACCAGGCCTTAATTCATTCCATCGTAAAGTAAGTGTATTGAGTAAATGAATCGTGCTGTAAGAGTAACTGTTTCTCCATATTGACTATAGGAGAAGACCAGGTTAATTACTTCAGTTGTATTGTTCAAGAGCGTGGCATGTGCACTGGTGAGATGAATCTCTGTGAGGACTAAGAAAGATATAAACATGACTTGTGCCTTTTAAGGAGAGGGAATGAATCTATGCTTATTTTTGCTCTAAAGCTAGACCTACATCTACCTAGTTCACTCAGTAGATCAGTGTATCTTACGGCTACTGAATATAGTAAAATATGTACATTTGCAAATTGTGAACTGGTCTAGAACTCACTGGGGCACTTTTTAAGACATCTGCTTGAATGTATCAGTCTCTAGAATATTAGAAAGTGAAGAGAAACATACAATCCTCTCTACAAGTGTTTTACTGTTGTATTTTCTTAGCAAATGACTTGCTACTATCAATAGCTATTTACACAAGAAAGAATAATTTGTGCAGCAACCTTTCCTGCATAACTTTGCAATAAAGAAGTGTTTCTAATAATTACAGAATTAATACTTAACTGTGAAATGGAAAATATACTGTTAGTAGTTTCTGAGAGGCAGCTGGACTATTCAAATACGGCCATAACAGTAAAAAATTAGCACGCGTCTAGCCCTTTCTATCACCAGAACTCCTTATAAATATTCATTAAAATGCTTCCAAAATGGTGAAAAAGGAAAAATAATTTAGACTTACCCACATTTAATCTGCCTGTGACTTCCCCATTTGAATTGCGAGCATTCACAGTCACATTGTGAGTAGACTGGAGAAGCAGGGATGAGTCCTAAAGTATGGAGAAAAGATTGCAGACTCAGCAGAATAAGTAGAACTGTAAATAAATGTCATCGTTTAGTCTAGTGTTTATATTAACTCAATCAGTGAAAGAGGTTCACAGTTACGAAACTATCCACAGATATCATCAAATAATTTGGACAAGTACTTCTGATTATTTCAACTATATATTTAAAATTCAAGGAGAATTAAAGAGAATACTTCTAAAATGACAAAAATCTATTTTATTGTCTCAATGAATACAGTTATTAATATTTCATCTTTTGAAAAAAAATGACTTAAGTCCTAAATTTACTACTTTCTATATATAACTGAACTCTTAGAAGACAGTCATTTAATTGAAGTGTGAGTACCTCGCACACTTCGTGTATTTACACTATCATAGTAACTTGGTCAGAAGCATGTATTTGAGTTCTACCTCCTCAATAGTCCATACAGCCTGTATGCTTTAGCTTGATTTAGGCACTTGGCACTGATTCCCCGGCAAGAAAATTCAAACAGTCATTGATGGGGAAAGTGGCAGGTTGACTAGCTCAAACCTGACTTTAGTAGATGAGAGTACAGATGAGAATGTGTCAGCCTGAATTAAATTGTCTTCCTGTTGCCCACCCCTCTGGAACTCAATCAGCAGACTGTGCAGCATCACCTGCTCACCCACATCCTCATGCCATGATTTAAGCCTTGTGCATCCTGTGTTGTCCCACTTCTGATTCTCCAGAACACAAACCTACATATGAAGATCACAAAACAACACATTCATATTTAACCTAACTCTTCTCTGCCAGTAGGTTTGTGTTTCAGAAAAGGCTTAGAGCATTAAAGAAACACATGATGTTATGAAAGATTAAAGGAAACAAAATCAGTTCCAAACCTTTGTAGCTCTCAAGTTACCTAAGGAACAACGTAAAGTCATAGACTGGGTAAAATAGGACATAGGAAACGTATAAGTGCAAGTTAAAAAAAAAAAAGAAACCCCAAAGTTGCACACTTACATGGAAGAGAGTGTGACCATCAGGAAGATGATGTTTTGGTCATTCTATGCTGAGCTGAATAAGGTATATAGCTGAGAGAGAGACAACTACCAAACCCCTGGCAGTACATCTCCATGCTACCACAGGCTAACTCTTAGTCTGTTGCAAGAAAGCCAACAAATTAGGCAGCAACTTTCGATGCCTTCTCAGAACCTGAGATCACAGGAAAGGAAACCTAACCTGACCAGATCCATCAAAGGCTGAGCATGAACTTCTCAAATCTCCTCCAACCTCATCCACTTCTCTGCCATGACCTAGGAGAGCTCCAGTGAGTTTTAAGAGTACCAGAAGGTTCAGGAGAAAAGAAGCCGGCCAGGGGAAGGGGATACACGTCTCTCACCCAAGGAAAGGAGCCATGAAGAGAGGCTGCAACAATGCACACCGTCTTTGAAAGGACAGTCATCATGTGTCATTTATTTAACTTTCTGTCAACTCTTCTCAGATCTCCCTTTTCAACCTCTAGTCAAGCTCCATTCTTCCTCCCACCCTACTAGCATGAACTTCAAATCCTGCATCAGTCTGCTAACAAGTACGTGAGATGTTCTACAGTGAGGCAGGGCAAAGCACACCTGACATTAAGCAACTACAGCTAGCTGCATCATAGCCAGGACACTTGAAGAGCAGTCAGGATATGCCTAATCATCATCCTGTGCTACTTCTTGAAGCCAAGGCAGGCTGAGCAGGTGTAATTGTCATCATCATTCATCTCTACCACACCTCAGAACAGTCTAGACTAGCTACGGTAGGCAATTCAAAATTGCATGTCATTCTTACAGCACAGCCAGCATGGAACTACTTCACCAGAAACATCCAGATGTGATAACTCATGGTTTGGTATTATGCTTATCAAATTCCTCCCAGGTGAGTTTCCATTCCTTATTCCCAGACCTTCCACTTAAAAGCACTATCCTTTGGGCCCCTCAGACCCTCCCTACTGAACCCTGGTCCTGAGGAGCAGATGAGTAGCTGCCTTGAAAGACCTAGCTGCCCACTGTGCTCCATCACACTAGACATAGGCTGAGTAAGGAAGCAGAGTCATAACAAGGGAACTTGTAGCAGTCATTTAGAAGTGTCTAAAACCTTTGTGGGGACAGGAGTGAGTCAGTTCATCTTATGTTTTTCTTAGATTTACTAGCTGAATTGTCTTTAAATGCAGCTGATTTAGAGGCAAACAGTCTTGGCCATTGTCTTCACTTGATTTTAAGTACCAGGGACAAAATGGCTGATCACCTTCATTTGGATTAGCGAATTGCAAGAAATTGGTAGACTTAAAAAAAGTGGTGAAGGGGATGATTTTCGTAGCCCAAGTGCTTTCATACTGAAAATCTATCTCATAGGTACACAACCAGAGCTCTGTAACTGATAAGCGTGCCTAAGCAGATCTGAGTTTGTGGAAGTAGCAGGAAATATGTGATGTGAAGTGAGTATCAACAAGCTGCTCGTTAGTGACCTCAAAGGAAATACTCATTCATCCCTAGCTACATAGTTTCTAACTACTGGAATATTCTTAAATATCAACAGTTTCTGTTACACAGATGGCTTCAGGTACTTTTTCTGGATTTAAGCCAGACTATGCAGATTGAAGCCAGACTATGCAGCACCTCTAATGGCTAAGCTCTGAAAATCACTACTGAGTGATGTTCCTACTGCAATTCAGTGTTTAGAGTATAAGATAACATGAGAATTTTGAACAAATTTTATATGAAGAATTTTATTACAAACACACCTAATAACAATGGTAAAAGCAATATACACTGTGGAGTTCATCTTATATTAACTTAACGCAACAATAACAGGTTAGTATGGTGTGGAGAAGAAAGGGCAACAAAGACTATTTGGTAAATATATTACATATAAATGCATGTGCTAAATGACCTACAAATCTAGGAATGTCTATTAGACTTATTTGATTGCTCTTGGCTGATTCCAAAAATAAATTACTGCAAATAAACTATATTCTGGATTTGCAGTTTCCACACTTGTTGTTGACTAATTACTACTAGTAACAGATTTCAAAACGCTCATTCTCTATCTTGACATGAATATGTATTAGCTAAGATGCCAAGGAATTGCCCACAACTCTGTTGGACTCATAATGAAAGCATAAACTTGTAATAGACTCCAGAGATGATGCACAGCAAGTCGATTTTCTGCTGCATATTTTCTTAGCACTTTGGAGACCTCATTAGGTGAGAAAAGCTATTAAGAGACTGCAAGGAGAAAACTATTAAGGCAAGGAAGAAAGCTGCTATGATAGCCATGCGAGGCCCAATTCTCTAACAGAGAAATTTAGGAAAAGAAATCATAACAAATAAGCAACTTTATGAGAATAAATATATAGAAGAGATCAAGCTACAGGCATTTAAGTCTCTGGAGAGTTAAAATACTTTAAAAAGCAAACAAACAAGCAAAAAGACCTGATGAGTCATCAGTTCATGGGGGGCAAGACATCCAGTAGCCTGAAGGCTCTAATTAATGCATGCTACTAACGATCACAATGGGTCATAAGACAGCTAAGCTAATATTAGATGCTGCCACACCTCTCTTTTCCTATGTTGTACTAAATGTAGAAGTAATATTAAAAGAGCACAAAAAGTAGCTCAACATCACTTAAGGATTTAGCTGGGCAGAAGGAGTTCCTATGCATTAGCTATGCTGGTTTTTGAAAAGTTACACATCCTATTGGATAAACAATCCCGAGGGAAACTCATGTAAGCACATAGCGTTCCCACTGCCTACAAGACAGAAAAGGAACAGCATAAAGAACAAAAAGAAGAAGTTCTTAGTAATGGAACTTCATTCTCCAAGTAAGAGCTGTTCCTGGAAATATTTATTGCAGAAGGAGAGAAAAAGAAAAGCTTAATAGACACTGGCATCACCAAATTTCAGTAATTTAGCATTTTAACAACCTCATCCTAACTCCAGTATCAGCCATTTTTTCTGATAAACTTATTTACATTTTCTTTTGATGTAGAGACAAACACTAACTTTTTTCCTACTTTCAGTTAAGTCACATATTCACTCTTCTTCCTAATGGATCTGGTGAGGATGCTTATATGTTTCAAGTAATGAAAGAGAAATGTTTGGCTCTTACTGTCATTGAATAGTATTTTTCTCTATGAAATTGTCCCATAGGGTGATGATATTGCTCATGAAATATGGATTTTGAGAGAGTCTGAGTGACAGAAAACAGTTCTTAGACATATTTAGTTTTTGACAAGAAATAGTTTGCTCTACAAAAAAATTCACCTGAATTAAACTCAGAATTCACCTGAATACTTCAAAACCAATTCAGCACTTTGTCCTTCATGAAAATTCAGTACTTCAGTACCATACCATACCAATTCTCATTGCTAATTTAAAATTAATCCGCTTATGAAATATTTTCTTTGACCAAGTACATTATTTCTCTTTTCTACCTTAATACTAGTAATAAAAAATTCTATTTAAACAAAATTCAATCCTAAATCTTTTCATTTAGTCTTCCACATTTTGTATATATAAATATAAATATATATATGTATAAAAAATCATACATTCAGTATCTGTATCCAAGAAACTACAGAAGTGGAACTTATTAGAAAAACTATGTCGTTTTCAATAGAATCCACTAATTTTAGAGATATTTAAACTATTCTCTAAGCATTGTTTGAATGAGTAAACAAAACAAACGATATCCCGGGGAAAGAGGCGTAAAAAGTAGTCTCAGTAAAAACATCACAAAACTTTCCACAGCACTCTTAATATTTTGGTATTCCTTACATAAAATTCCCATGATAATTTTCTTATAGGCAATTTCTTATGACAAGCCTAAGAAAAAAATGCTAATTCTGCCATAGTATCTGAGTATTGACCTTGACCATGTTTATAAAGTATCTGCCATGTTCTTCCATTGTACGTTCAATAACATATTTATATGTATCTTCACAACATAGTATTACTGGCATGCAAAAAAATGTGCATGTGTGTGTGCGTATGCATGTGCGTGTGCATTTTTTCCTGATAGGTGCCTGGATTTAGCCTATATTCAACTTTGCATAAGTCCATTACATTTATTTTAGCATTATTGAAAGATTATCCACTTACCACTCGAGAATGAATTTCTTTGGCGTAAAGAGGGAATAAGAATTCTGACTCCCCTTCTAGACGAAGACCTTCTTTCGTAACACGCAGATGTCCCATTCCAGTCTAGGGAGAAGATGCAAGAATTATGTGTGCTTTAGTAGTGTTGATGTATTTATTTTTTGTTCATTTCATAAATTGAACCACTCCAGAGCTCCCTGCCTCCAGTCTACCAATAACAATACCTGTACTAATGCATTTACAATTTTGACAATTTCTCATTTATTCCATGAATATTTTTATTTGAGAAATTGTAGCTTTCAATAAAAAAAGTGTTGAAGTAGGGAAATTTTAAAGTAAATTTTAAATGTTTTGAGACAAAAATACAATGTTATAGTAGTTAATTTAAAAGGAAGAACATTTGTATTGGCTATGCTCAAATACCCTTTGTGTGTTCTTTCTAAAAATTTGTAAAGAAAATAAAATTTTGCACACATGAGAACTCACATAAAATAAACTTTATGATTATTTCTCAAGATTTATCCTATCAATGGTACGTTTTACAGGAAACGTAATACTTCTGAACCTATTGCAGGGAAGAAGAAGGATTTTTACTTACTTGCATTTTCAGTACTTATTTCTTTCATTTTAAATAATTTTTTCTTTCTTTGGTTTATTTTGTCCTCCTCTACCTCTAGGTTAAGGCTCTATGTCTTTTACAATCTGATTGCTTTCTCTTTTTGCCACCCACTTGTTAGTTTTTCTTCTTTTCTCATTCTCTTTTAGTCTCTCGCTCCAGATTCTAGCTGTTTCACTTTTCAACTCATTTCTGTTATATTTTCTTTTTTCTTTCCTTCTCCATTATCATATAACTGACAGGGTGAAAAACACAGTGAGGAATTCCTTCAGTAAGTAGGACTGAAGGACTGGAGCTTATCTGAGGACTTTCAGGCTTCAGCTGAAGGACATTTCACAGGTATTCTGCTAAATTGTAAAGGGCTTCCCCCCCACCCCATATAAATAGTGAGAAGACAATATTTCAGCCTTACAACTCAGCTACAAACAAAAATTTCCCAAGTACAAACTGTCTCAAGTTACAAGAAATAGGTGGAAGAGCTAAATAACAAACAAAATAAGATCCAAAAAGTATTTCCACTCTACCTTTTTTTCAGACCGTTCTCCATGTAAGGAGAGAAGAGGAGATGCATGGTGTGCCACTACCAATGCATCAACAATCTAATCATACAAGGAATTATACCTATCACTGAGAAAAAGTTGTAGCTTTAAGAAGCTTCAATTATTTTCAAATATTGCATGTTAACTCCAAAGAGATTATATATAATGGGCAACTTATCTAACCAAACTTCAGTGAAAAACTTTTGCTCTTTTTTTTTTTTTAAACAGGCTTGCAGAGAGAGAAGCAGAGAGAATCAAAGAAGCTTTGCTTAAATTACATAAGGTAAGAAATAGTAATGTCAACAGTTCACTCCACTGGAGACTACAACTGCGATTCTTCCTCAGTAGTGATTTATTTAAGGAAAAAGGCTTTTTAAACAGCTATTTATGGAACCTGTTATTCAATGTTAAGTATTTTACTACTTTGACATGTATAGTGCACTGACTTGCTTCAGTGGAATTAGACAGAATTTCAAAATTCAGGACAATTGCAAAGCTTTTAAAAAGTGCCTATGTACATACTGATACATGTCATGAGGCAAAACTAGAATAATACTTGTGAACCTCCCCACCCCCCACAGCTTTCATAATCCCAATTACTAGGCAACACTGAGTGACTTCTAAATATGTTTTTGTAGTGAAGAGCATGGCACTATTCTTTTCTAACTTGCAACTCAAAATAGAGATCATTTCAGCCAATAAAAATTCATAGGTTTTAAGACAAGCACTTTTGAAAAATATGACATGAAAATATCAAGATATTCTAAATAAATACCACTAAGAACTGGCTCTCATGTGATTAACCAAAATTAGGATTTGATATCTGCTCTGATCCCACCAGGTGAAAGTATATTATATAGTCTCTATAATTTCTAACATTCTTTTATCAAATTCTACTATATGTTAAACTTCATCAGGTTTAAACACAGTTTTCACATTTTTCTTGGAATACGAGGAACTAAACAAAGAGTGTATTACAGCATAAATGCAACAACAGCATTGACAAATCTGAAATTTAAAAAGGTAGAGCAAGAAGTACAATTTACTTCTCACTCTGAAGCACCTCAGGAAAAATAAAAAGCTCCTGGGTGGCAATCTCTATCCTGCCTTTGGCTTTGCGAGGTAGGTTTTTTTCGCAGAGATAAAAAACTATAACTGATGTTGAAAAAGAAGTTGATATTGAAAAAGAAGATTATGCAATTTACTCAGCACACATTTTCTATAGATTCAGATCTTGCAGTAATGATTATTCTTAAAATGCCCTATAGACAGTAGAATGTCTTTTACCCCAAGAATAATATACTATATGACAAAACTTAAAATTTCAACTTTTAGATAAGTTCTTGTTTTTTCATTCATCCAGTCATGTCACTTGGGATTTGTTTGTACTCAAGTATGTCTTGCCTTCTTCATCAGGTACTTCGCTTAATTATTGACACAATGTTCTTGTTCGCACGTGTCCAAACTAAAAGACTCATCATCGATTCTCATCATCTGACCATTTACGAAGTTCATAAACCTATGGAAATTTAGACTTGGGTCACCTGCATAAATTAATGACAGACGAACGCTGCAACATGCAGAGGAGCAATAAAAATGTGGATTTCACATAACGATGCTTACTTCTATCAACTTTGTGACCTATAAATAGTTATAATTCCCTTACTATCAAAATATCTGAGCATCTCATGATTTTAAAGTACTGAGTTTTGCAGTTCTGTGAGACGGGAAAATTATATTATCCTTTTTTTATAGTTGGCAAATTGAAGTTACATAAAATGTAAAAGAAGGTTTTAGGATCAATAGCCATCTTAAAGCCCTGAGATCCAATGATAAGTTCCAAAGAAAGGAAGATTCTCATAGTTACACATAACGTTCTCTCAGCAACCACTCTGCCTCTTACATCGCAGCACAAATAGTTTAGGAGAAGCCAATTATTATTTACTAAGTACACAGTCAACTTTTTCACTGATGCACAACACTGATGCTTTCAGTTTCAAGGATTTGGTTCTATTCCTGTTCAAAGCATTGAATAAAAATATTGCTACTGATGTGAGCAAAGGATCCAAATGTCAGTTAGATGCAGAAAGCGATGCAATTACATAATAAGCTATTGATCAGGAAGAAAAAGTGTTTCATTAAACATAGGGGGTGTATCATAAATCTGGACTCCTGCTATCCTGATGCTGATGACTGTCACTGCTTGAGCGGGCGGACCCTTAACTTTAACACAGTGTTGTATGTTTGACCCTGAGACTCTGTGGTTACGAACTACTCAGATAAAACCGTCAGCAAGGCAAGGACTGACTTGTATAGAAGAGGAGGATGAAATGATTTATCTCTGTAGACACTGAGCGGATTTTGCTGTCGCTGTAAGGAGCTGACTGCTGTGGGAATGACTGGCAACAGTCACACCCTTAGGCACCAATAATGCAATTTAGCGTTAGCATTCACAAAGGTGCAACCAGCTGTTTGTTTTAAGGCTATGCAGTTTGTAGTTGGAGTAATAGGATGCATTTAACAGCAGTAGAAGCTTTTTTTTCATTATTTGAAAATGTTCTTAAGGAGGTAAGTGCTTGTAGAAATCGGGACTAGGGCTTCTTTAATAAATTCAGACTCTAAGTGGGTTCAAGCCTCACACAAGCTCACCAAAACACTCTTTGAATCAAAAATCATGTTCTAAAGAGTATTTGGCAGCTATTCAGCCAATTGTCTAGATAGCGATACTCCAAACCACCTGAAATGAGTAGCAAACACTACTAGAATCTTAGTTAAGCTTCATGGTGCTATGGAGCATCTGGATGGAGGACCATTTTGGATTATCATTCTCTTGCACATGATAAATCTAAAATCATTTTCCTCTGAAATTAGGTTAAGCAGTTCCATGCTCCACAAAGCCAGTAGAGAAGTGTAGTATGTCCACAAACTGTGGGAAGGCTGTGAAGCCTCTTTCAGAGGGATGTGGAAGAGTGAGTCCTTCATTAGGACCAAAATGTTCCAAAAGTCATCCTGATGGGCCTGGTGGAATGGCTTTCTTCTTATGGCTATGAATATCTGTGTTCTGGAAAAATGAGAAAGGACTGGAGAAAGCTAGTTTGACAGGACTGGTATGGCTAGCACTGAGAGCCTATTTTGTTAAAGCTGAGGATGTAGGAACTTTCCCTCTTTCATATGCTGTCATAGTGAAACCTGCTGCTCCAGCTCACGACCAAAACAGTCACATGGAAAGAGATACACAGAGATGGGACTACTCAGAGCGGAAACCAGTAGCTGCAGGTCTAGGTTTCTTGCATGTACAATGGCTTGTGCTTTCAAGAAGGTATCACTGCAGCTGGGTCTCATGCTGTTTATGACTTAAGGATTCAAAAGATCATGAGATGATTTATCTTCCAAGCCATTATAACAATGTAATTGCTCATCTGCTGTAGGCTCATGGCCCTTAGAAATGAGGATGAGGCATGAGGAACATTTATTCTGTTTATGATGAATGTTTCTAGCCACCCAATTAAAACCAATAACCATAACTTGCATTTTCCTTACAACACAGAAACTGACACACGTCGGGGCTCGCTATATCGGGTCAACCACTCTTCTTCTTACATCATATCATCACTGTTCCTGCATCTTTTCAGCGTGTTAGGCTCAACTGCAGTCCTTACATTTCTCTAAACAATGGAAATTCAGCTTCTGGTCTATCAGCTAAGAACTGCAAAGGAAGATGTGTATTTTCCCACTTTGGAAAGATATCAAATACTGAAAAGACAGGCTAATCCATATGTTAAGATGGTTGACACAGTTAAATTTGAAGACCATTCAAGCATTAGCTTTAATATACACTCAATTCACATAAAAGTGGTTCTTCTCTCAGGAGTTAATAGCATATTTGATTTGTAATACCTGCTCCCTGAATATTCCAAATTTTCTTACTATTAAGAGTCCATACATAATGT